GTCCTATGTCTTCGTCGACGTTCTCGAAGGCCTATGTCCCCGGTCCTGAATTTTACCTCAAACTTTGTCCCTGCATCCATTGGTCCATGTAGGTAATCCTTGAAACCTTTCCTGCTTTCCGACATTTCGTACACTTCTAGACCCTCCTGATCCTCGGTTTCTTTCCTTAGACTGTTCTTTTCTCTCGGCACAAGCAACAGATATCTTCTCCTTGAACCCCTGTAGACCCTCCGTTTCCAGCGTTTCATCTTCGTCGATGTCGAGCCCCTTCCATACGTCCTCTACAACCTTGACCCATTCCGTGGGTTGTCTACCCCTCTTTTTGTTTGCCCACTTCGCCTCCCANCCGACCGCAGGGATTGGATCCCCAATTCTGCCCTGACGGCTGCATTACTTGTGCGCTTGGATCATCCTAGGATGGTTTTCGCCACTTTCATCTGAGCCGCCTCGAGTTCTTTCACTACCTTCTTATTTCCTTCCCATACTTCTCCGGCGTACTCTAGCGGCGGTACGATTACGCTCTTCAAAACCGTCAATTTGATGCGTGTATCGAGTTGCCGGTTTGCGAGTATTGGATGCAGCTTCCCTGCTCGTGATTTGCCCTTTTCCGCTACCTTGGACATGTGTGCATTCCACGAGCAGTCTTTTGCGATCTCTACTCCAAGGTATGTGTACTGGTCCACTACTGCAATCTCCTCGATCCCCCACTTCCATCTATGTTCTACTGGTTCCTCCCTGTCCTCGTTGCATACCATGACGGCACTCTTCTTAACCTTGGCAGACAATCTCCACTTATCAGTAAACTTCTTCGCCGCGTCAATTGCAGTTACAGTCCCTCAAGGGTGTCCGACATACAGACAAAATCATCCGCAACCAGCATCCCTCACACCGAAGTTTCCGTGTCCCCTACTTTTACTCCCTTCTGGACTGCCTCTACGACTTCCAACACATCGTTGATGAACATCTGGAACAATGTTGGGGACAGCGCGCAACCTTCTGGGACCCCCTGCTCAATGTCGAAGAAGAATTTAGACAGTTCTCCGTCTAGCGTGACCGCACTTTTCGTACACTCTTGTCATCTTCTTCAGCACTCTCCACATTTTCCCCTTGATCCCGTACTTGGACAATTGTTCCCACAGCCCATTTCTCCATACGGTGTCGTATGCCTTTTTCACGTCCAGGAAGAAGCAGTACGTCGGCTTTCCCGCCCTCTTTCTACCTTGGATGATTCTCCCTACCGTGAACACGTGGTCTACGCACCCCCTCTTCTTGCGGAAACCTGCCTGGCCCTCACTAATGCTATGTTCCTTCTCCAATACTCCCACTATCCTATCGTTCAACAGCTTACAGAACACTTTTCCTACTGTGTTCAACAGTGTGATCCCCCTGTAGTTTCCTGGGTCAGTCTTGTCTCCTTTCTTGAACAAGTTCACAACCACTCCTTCCCTCCATCTACTTGGCGTATACTCGTTTTTCCACACCCAATTGTACAGCAGTACCATCAGCTGGATCATCCCCTTCCCCCCAAACTTCATGAACTCGTTGACTATCCCATCCGCTCCTGCTGCTTTGTGGCACTTCAGCTTGTTCACACACGCCTCAACCTCGTCCTCAGTGAACTCCTTTTCTAGTTCTACGTTCCCAACGTCTGCCTTCGATGTCTCTTCTTTTTTTTGGGCCCATGCGTCCACCTCTTCTTAAACACTTGGTCAAAATCTTCATTCTCCGAGGGCACTCCAAGTCTCTTGTAGTGTCCTGCTAGAACTTCCCTTTTTCCCTTCCCACTGCTGACTAATCCACCGTTCACACCTCGCAAAGTTGCGACCCCTGTATCCCCCCCTTGCGCGGTCTTTTTTACCATTCCACTAATCCCTTCCCACATCTGCTTGACGTTTCCCTCCAGGCCTCCGTTGGCCTTCTGCACTACTTCGTCCCAAATACACTTTTTCTTCTTTCTCACTAGTCCCTTCACCTGTTTTCTCTTGGCCCTGTACTTTTCCCAACTCTCCTCAGACGCCTCACTCAGGTACTGCTTGAAGACTTCTCTACGTTCCCCTATTTCTTCTTTCAGCTCGTCATCCCACCACTTAACCGATACCCCACATCGTACCACCTTCTTTCCCACTTCTCTCTCTCTTCATGATGGACTCCCACCCTTCAATCATTCAATCACCCTGTCCCCTGCTGCCTGTACGTCTACCTGTCCGTCTTCGACGCTTCTCAGCAGTTTCCTGAAGGGTTCTACACTACCAGCCAGTCCCTTCTGGAATTCATCCCGTGTCCCCCCGTCTCCCAAACGGTCTACTTTCCACCGGAACACTTTCCTCTGTTTCTTACTCTCCATCTTTCTAGGTCGGTCGATGTTTGCCCATATGAGGAAGTGGTCGGTCGAACCTATATCTGTCGCACTTACTTGCAGCTCTGGGATCTGTGCGCTCCCCCAATCTACCAGGATGTAGTCGAGGATCGAGTATTCATTGCAAACTGCCCTGTGCCTGGTGAACTCCGACTTATCGCATTCCTTCCTACCGTTCAACACAATCAGTTCGTTGCTTCCCAAGAATTCAAGCATCCTCACTCCGTTGTCATTCACTTTGTCTTTTCCGTGCTGCCGGATCGCCTGTCCGCTACTGGAAGCTTTCCCTACTGTGGAGTTGAAATGGCCCACCATGACAACTTCTCCCTTCTTGCTAAACCTCTGGACATCTTCCCCAATTTGTCCAAAGTTCTCCTGTGCCTTGCTTGCGACTTTCTTCGACGACGGTGGGACGTGTACGTTCCCTGGAAACAAATCTTTCTCACCCCACTCCCCAGGTATCTTTAGCCATAGGCTTTCCTCGAACTCCGTTTTCACCAGGGCTATACGTGGCGACGTAGTCGCCCCATGGGATGGGAATGGCAAGGAAAGCCCGCCGCAGGCAAAATGTTTTTGAGCTTACCATCAGCTTTGATGGGATGGGATCTTAATTTCTCCGATGAGAATGGGATGGGATGGGAAAGGGATTGCGCTTCACGCTGTAGGGATGGGATGATATTAGCCAATCCTTGCTGCTGGGATGGGATGGGAACTACTGGATGTTTCGATGGGATGGGGTGGATACGTTCGCGAAGGGGTGGTGGGATGGGATGGTAACATCTATCTTTAGTTTTCGCTGTTGATGGTAATAGTTTTTGTCAAAAGGTTTGCCGCCTCTCTCTCCTGTTCATGGCTAGGATACAGCTATATAGGCACAGCATTCACCTCGTTGCACACAAGTCACCACAAATATGGCGGGTGATTGAAAATCATGGCAGTCAGTAAGGCTTGTCTTATTTGTAGATCTAGAATATATGCATACATGACCCTTTTCATACGAGATGTTGCGCACAAATTTAAAAGGAACGAAATGAATCACGCACACGCATATACATATCTATGGGCTGCTATTTCTCATATGGTACGCCTTACTTGGTTGCCTTCCCCGCGACAAAATCAAGTAGCACAGAGAGATGCATTTAGCATGCAACACAGCTACACAAAAATTGAAGAACGACAACCTCTCCCGCCGAGGCACTATTGTTGACACCGCTGTTGCTAGCGGGAGCTGCTGTGTGAGCTGTTGCTGTAGAATGGATGTCGTAGTGCAGACTCACTAGCGTTGGCTTCGCGGTCCGCCATGTTTGGTGTGTACACATAGCTGCATTAACATGCCAGATGCAGCAGGCCGAGTAGGAGGCGGCGGGGGAGGCGCCAACTGGTGCAACAGGGGTACGTTCTTCGTTGGAGTAAGTACGCAGGGAGGTGGGTAGTGTGAAATGTGCGGTTGGCTGGTGTTTAGATGGGATGTGGGTGTCGTGTTGGTGGGAGTGGCTGGGATGGGAGATGCTTTTGTGATGGGAGTGGCTGGGATGGGATATGCTTTGTGATGGGAGTGGCTGGGATGGGATACGCCATTCGGATGGGAGTGTTGATGGGATGGGCGCGACGTTGGAAATTCTAGATGGGAAGGGATGGTACGATGGATCCGATGGGATGGTAGTGGGATGGTAAATGTGGTGGGATCGAAAATCTTTTACCATCCCACTACCATTCCACCACTATCTTATTGCCATCACATGTACCATCCCATCGAACTCCACGTATAACCCTGGTTTTCACCACTACTTCCACCACGTCAAACAAGCGTTCCTTGACCAGGAATCCGACTGCCCCCTCCCCCAATCTCTTCGGGTCTAAGCCCTTCCTTGCCTTCCCTACCCACCGGTATTTCCCTAGTGTGCTTACCACGTCCTCATCCTTCAACCCACGTCTCTTGGATCCCCACTACATCTGGATCGCTTTGCATATTGGGGGGGCATATTGGGGGTGGGGGGGG